AATATAAGTGTTGTTATTTTGTGGGGGAGCGGGTGTGATGTCTGCTTGATGTGATAAAATAAATAACACATGGTCATTCGGCAATATCATGATTTATTGTCTGCCCTCAGGCGTTTGGTCAAAACCACAATCTCTTGAACATGTGTTATTATTTAATTATGATTTTTTTTTTTTGATACTTTAATTGTCAATTAAATGCAGAGAAAAATGAACATTTCTCAATGACAAACAATTTATACATAGTTTTCAATTCTATGGATCAGAATGCTTTCACATCTCAATGAGCAACACTTTATTAGCCAACTTGCTACTTGTTTGAATAGGCTGGTTAGTGTTAGATTATAAATATTTATTTTATGCTTTCAATACCCCAGCAAACAAAAGCTCTTTAATTCTTTGATTAAGCATTCTTTGATTTTCAATTTGACAATATTACCGATACATAATATTACAGATAGAGAAAGTAACCAGACTCCTGCCAAGTATTTTTCAATCCAGTTTTGTATATACTATGACAGCTAAACTTGCACCAACATGGAATAAAGTGGGTAAAGTTTTTGTTCAAGGAAGAGATTTTATTCAGACTTCAACAAGACTGAATGCTGTCAGTAAGTATGTCAATAGCCTCATATTATTCTAGAACTTAAAATTCACACTGCAGTGTTCAGACACTGGAATTCATGAACAAGTAATTCAGCTATAAGGAGTGTAAGGATTTATAACATAGTTACTTACATGTATAGTATTGGTTTTTACTTAGAAATGGATATTACTGTGGTTAATGAAGAAATTACGTTAGCACTTGAAGCCAGTAATGTAAAGTTACCAACTAACAGGGTAAGTACACACATCTGCCAGATTTATCATTTTATCATCTAATAGATAATGATTACTCAAATCTTCATGGATGTCGTCAAATTAATTTATAAGTGACAAGTCATTGTCAATGACACGTCCCCGTTCCGTTCATATTTGAGTGACATATACATTCAAAGCAGATCATGACCGAAATGTACCTGCATATGTACAACACATTGTACTAAATCTGAACAAAATCCATCCATGCATGACTGAGATCCGATTCCGGAATTGTGATTTTGATACATTTTCGGCCTTAAAATGGCCATCATTCAGCTATTGTTAAGCGGATCATGAAACAAATGCACATATCTATTTGTGACATGATGTACCATGTGTGTGTGAAGTTTGAACTTGATCAATCCAGACATGTCTCGGATACGAATCCATAACTGAATTCTTTAAAAAAAAATGGCCGCCAGTCGGCCATTTCAAACTAGATCCGAAAAAAGAAATGACGTGCATCAAGGTTCTATTATGTTTAATGTATGTACCAAATTTGAACAAAATCCGTCCATGCATAACTGAGATCCGGGTCCGGAATGGTGAAAATGTGCGATTTCAATGCATTTTCGGCCTTAAAGCGGCCGTCATTTGGCTATCGTTAATGAGATCATGAAACAAATGCACATACATATTTGTGACATGATGTACCTTGTGTGTGTGAAGTTTGAACTTGATCAATCCAGGCATTTCTCAGATACAGATCCATGTCACACGCACGGTAATATTACCGTAATTGATATAGTACAGGTCTGATGGTTCAAATACCAAAATGGCAACAGTAACAGAAAGACTTCCCTGGCGGCGATGATAAAATACGAACATCATTGTTTTCTCCAGTCATTCCCAGTTCATCCGCCCATTCCATCAACTCTTGTTTCCACATATCTTTCATCTCGCTGGCCATATTGTCTTCTATATGTCTTCACTGCTCCCGGACGAGCCCCCAGATGTCACACGTAATGTAATATTACCGTAATTGGTATAGTACAGATCTGATGGTTCAAATACCAAAATGGCAACAGTAACAGAAAGCCTTCCCTGGCGGCGATGATAAAATACGAACACGTAGCCAACAGATGAGGTTTCAACTGGTACTGGTATTATTATACTCTGCAAACATCAAGTACAATAACGCGGTAAAACTCCACTACTCCAATGACTAGATACTTAAACTCCAATACAATTCAACGAGATCTCCGATCTGAACTCAGTGCTGAACAACTCCCCTATATATACCCACACTGTCTATAAATAGACCATTACATCAGCATACATAATGAGTCTGGAATTTACTATAAATTATATAGAACATTGTCAGTGACACGGAAGTGGTAAATAAGTCGTATGCGACAATCCAGAATTGAATTCTTTAAAACAAAATGGCCGCAGTCGGCCATTTCAAACCCGATCCAAAAAAAAAAAATGACGTGCATCAAGGTCCTATTATGTTTAATGTATGTGCCAAATTTGAAAAAATGTGTCCATGCATAACTGAGATCCGGGTCTGGAATGGTGAAAATGTGCGATTTTGATGCATTTTCGGCCTTAAAATGGCCGCTGTTTGGCTATCGTTAATCGGATCATGAAAAAAATGCATGTGCATATGTCCCATATAATGTGTGATGTATGAGTTTGAACTTAATCGGTCCATGCATGTTCGAGATACAGGTGATCACGAACGCACAGACGCACGGACACACACAGGGCAAACCATAAGTCCCTGTTTTCGGACTATGTCCGAATGGGGACTAAAAACAATACACAGGTTTCAATTTCTAAGATTTAAGTGAATTCCTTTATCTCAAAACAGATTCAAGATTTTGAAATTTGTGTACCTGTCATAGAAAAATTCTTCATGTCTAAGTCTGCGGTAATTAATGAGTTCTCCATTGAAGATAAGTGGTGCTATGTAATGCCAAGGTATTTTAAAGTTCATTTTACAATTTACTAGTATGTATTAAACTTTTGTAAATCTAGTGACATCATCTCACCATACACTTTATAGGTTAATATTACTGTATTCCTCCTAAAAATATTGCATACAAAATGTGTATATTATGCTAGATGTAACTAATGATTTCCTTGTCACTGGAGCAAGTAATTTATCTGTAACCTGTTTTTTATTACAGTATGAAAAAAGGGAAATTAGTAAACATAACACATGATATACCCAAATCAAGTCCTTTCTCATCATATAAAGATATCAAAAGACATTGGAAAAACATGGTAGGTTTGAATCACAATAAAAGTGAATTATTTTTCTGTTTTATACTGAAAATGGATATAATGTTTGAAAAAAAAAGTAAAATATACACAGATCAGTACAAAATAATTATCACGGCAAATACCTCAGTCAATTCCCCCCAAAAATGCTTGCTGCTAATACAGTGGAAGAAATATACCTGTCCCACACAAGTTTATCATTAATAATTGTTGTATATATTAATTATAATGCTGGTAAATAACAATAATAACTCATCTGTTGGATTTTCTTTTTGTATATCAAAGTATGGTTATAGGTTACCAGAATCTGATGAATTGGTCTTCTTTAATGTGTACTTCCCAGCGATTGGTAACATTCTATTTACGTATCCTTTGTAATGTATGCCAATCTAAACACTGAGTTATTCAACCAAATGAGCAAGGTGGTGAAAAATAGTAGAATGTTTTGCTGTAGCATCTTGGTAATATGTGTTTGTTTTTGACTCCCATGTGCGAAGCACACAATGGGAGTCTTTGCAGTTAGTTTGTATGTGTGTGTATGTGTGTTCGTCTTTTTCACTGCTATCTCAAGAACCATACATCTTTTTTTAATGAAACTAGATGCTCTGAACTTATGCATAGATTTGCTCAGTTTTTGGTAAAAATCCATGCATATTAATTACCTAATTTACATGATAATTAGCTAATTTTTAGCTGCTCCATGCACTGATATCTAAACAACCACTCTTTGGATTTTGATGAAACTTGGTACATAGATGCTCTGAACTTATGTGCAGATTTGATTAGTTTTGGGTAAAAATCCGTGCATATTAATTACCTAATTTGTATAACAATTAGTCAATTTTCGTTTTTTTCCACTGATATCTCAAGTAGTAATCATCACATTTCAATGCAACTTGGTACCTAGATGTCATAGGACACTGCACAGACCTGATAGTTTTTAGGGTAATATCAGTACATATTAATTACCTAATTTGCATAATTAATTGTCAGCTTTTGATATTTCAAGTAGTAAGCATTACATTTCATTGAAACTTGGTACATAGATACTCATGGCCTATGCAGAGACCTTGTGCATATTAACACACCTAATATTCATAATTAATTAATTTTCAGCTTTTCCACTGATATCTTAAGTACTAATCATTACATTTTAATGAATCTAGAATTATGCAGGGACCCAATTAGTTTTCGGTAAATATTTATGTATATTAATTACCTAATTTGCATAATTAACTTTCACACTGATATCTTAAGTACTAATCATATTTCGTTGAAATGTTGTACATGGATGCTGTAGACAATAGTCAGACCTGATTAACTGTGGGTTAAACTCTGTCGATATTAATTACTTAATTTGCATAATTAACAAATTCTAAGCTATCACACTGATATCTAAAGTACTAATTATTCCATTTCAATGAAAATCAGTACAATGATGCTCTAGGACGATGTACAAACCTGATTAGTTTGGGGTTAAAATCTGTTCATATTAATTGCTAATTAGCATAATAATTCATAATTTTTTGGTTCTAATCACATTTCAATAAAACTTGGTACATAGATAGTCTGTTACTTTGCGCAGACCTCATTAGTTTTACACTCAAATCTGTTCATATTAATTTTCTGATTTGCATAATTAGTTTTCAGCTTTTCCATCAATATCTCAAGTACAAGTAATTTCAAATTATTTTTAATGTGTTTCCAATACTCTCAGCACATTAGAGTTCTTTCTAAGCTTTCTTTGATTTGAATTGTGTTTCCTACTAAAGGCAGGATTCAGATACAGTTGATATGATATGCTGTAACTGAAAGAGTTACCAGAAAACAGAAGTACCACTGGTGAATAGTGCTATTTTATCTTTGTTGATGTCTTTAACACTGTTCAGTTATCCAGAGTGCTGTGTTAGGAAAAGAGATTTAGTTGTAATTCCCCGGAGTGATTCAGAATCAATACTCAATGCATTTCTGACTGATGTGCAGAACAAGATGCCAACTGTGTGTGGAGTGTCATTGAAGATTGGCAGAAAACCACAGTATAGTACAACAACATTATGTGAGGCTAGTAGTAATGTAAGTAAACAGTTCAAATGATCAAGGAATGTAAATTTGTTTAGTGATCAGATACAATGTGGCTGCCAATAACACAAATAATCTAATGTACTAGTATTCAAATTTTATTTGCAGGACATTGATCAAATTTCCTCGTCTTTAAGTGATGAACCACCACAAAGAAAACTACCAGCAAGAAGAAATGTGGAGAAAATTTACACTAATACTTATCATCACCCTGTCTGCAGTCAAACATCAAATAATTTATTCCGAAATGCTGGATTTCTGAGTGCAAATGCTTCGACCACCCAAACATGTGGTATTCCAAAGTCTGTGCCTGAAAATATCCCTAAAACACAAAGAGTTATACCGATATTCAAGGCACAGTGCATTAGAACCCCTCTTGCTACAAAACAACCAGTCAAGCCACGAACTGTGCCATCATTTAAACCTGTTGCTAGAACTCCCATATTTGCAGATCAATCCACATTCCCCAGTGCCAGTGTGAAAACACAACTCTCAAGTCAGTACACACCAGTAAAAAGAAATCTCATTAAACCATCTTTCTCAAGCCAACCTATTCCTGGAAAAACACTTACTATGCAACCAGTTAATATGGGTGTTGGAAAAACTCAGATAATACCAGCAGGAAAGAGAAAGAAACAGGTGAGACGCTATTATTAAATTTATCAGTCTTGCCATGTTCGATTTATCCAAATATTAATGTATGTATCAGTACACGTTGATAGAAAAATTACTGCAGTGACTGCAAATTTAAGACTTGACCCAACAAATTAGAGGGAAATAGTTTGGCCCATCAAAATATATGTGTCAGTCAGCTGAAATTTAGTTTATTTTGAACTATTTGACTGGAGTATGAAATTTCAATAATTAGGCAATATTAAGTGAATTCACAATTGTTTTAGATTGCACTTTGAGGTATGGCTCATCTGAATACACGGCAGAACTATGTCAATATTTGATTTGGAAGTTTTGATGAGTTGTTTTAGTTAATCTGCATACACAATATTTCATATTCCAATCATAAGCACTGTGAAGATATCCAGCCTTTTTGTGGCATGCAATGCTTACCACAAGAAAGCTGTGATAAAATATGCCAACTATATAGTATTCAGTTCTTCTCCAATCGCAAAAAAAAAATCTTACTTTTAGCAGCATACTATCCATGGTCTTCTAAAAGACATTCCAATTGGTTTTTTGCATTTTATGACATTTTTAATCTAATTAGATCATAGCCTTAAATACTGGCCTATCAGTGTACTTTGCCAGATTATGTGGTGTGTAGCAGAAAAAAAACTCGTGGGGAAAGAATTCTGAGACAGTATTCTATAAACAGCATAACTTTCACTCAAGATACATTATCTTTGTATACTTCCACAGTGCAACATTTTAATTCAGGGGAGCTGTCTTAGAATCAGATATGCCAGTTTGGAATGCATTCACACCATCATTTTATTAAGTTGAATTTGTGAGTCAGTTCATTTAAACTCTAGCTCATTTTGTTTTCAGGATGCTGAATGTAATGAGACAGTGAAGAAACAACGAACCAAACCAAAAGTTCAAGAAAATGTAGATATAGGATCATTGGCAGCTTGTGGTCAGGTAAGAACATTTTTTTTTCCCCCTCGCTAACCAGTGTTTGTCACAAACATCAATGAGTTGATGGCCTACAGTACTTGCAAATTGAATTGAACTTGTTGGCCTTGGTTCTAGGACAAACACTGCTCCAGCAGTAGCTATTATGCAGTTTCTGTGCTCATGTTTTCACTAGGGACCTTTCCAATTAGTCTTTATTGCAATAAAATGACGAAAAACTGCCATCATATAATTCTAACAGTCAGCTAATGTACGCCTTATAAAATACATGCGACTAAGTATTTACTGTATGGGGGGGGGGGGGTCATCTTGACCAATCTTAAACTTTTATAGCCAAACATTATGCCAAAGAAGTTGTCCCTGGAAATTTGAACCAAAATTCCAATACCGTAAAGCTGTATGACAATTTTGATTTCAAATTCCTGGAGAAAGTATTAGTTGGCAGATAACCTAAAGTTATCCCAAAGAATCATTTGGCATTGTTCCAGTTTTGTCGTACCTGTAATTTTGCATTCCATAGCTTTATGTCAAAATGGCCACCAATAACTAGTAAATATATCACATTATGTGTATGCAAGCTGACTGTGGAAACACTCCACCTTTTAGATATACTATGTCAGCATTTATCATACCATAGTTAAAAGAGACTGCGCATGTTCACAATTTGTATTTTTTTTAAATGTTTCACAGTTATCAAAGGTGAATACAATTACATTAATAAGCTGGTTGAAAGAAAGAAGTATTGTTGTCAAAGCCAAGGATAAGAAAGGAGATTTAATACAAAAAGTTATGATTCATC